GGCGAGCGGAGGAGGAGGAGTGCGCGAGGGCCTCATCTCTTCTCAAGCTCCAATGGCATGAGGAAGAGAACCCCTTATAAACCACTCCAACTCTCCTTCCACTTCCGGGGTGGGACTAAACTTCTCACCACCTTGTCATGCCACCTACATGGGCCCTTAGAGATCAAATCTGAAATTGTCATATGGGGTCTAGGCCCATCTCATATTTCAACAATTTGTACCCATAAGATAGCCGCAGAGGTTTGCTCACCAAGATCACAGCTACAAAGAGACAGCTAACAGACATGCGAATGGTAGCATTGTGGGAAACGCCTTACCAGAAAAAACAACAAGAAAAACAGACTCGAGAGCCAAGAATGAAGGGCATTCATCCATCATAGCAGAGACTGCGCCACAACAATCATAATTAGACCAAGAACAAAAATACCAAACTCAGAGCATTTTACTTGTATCTTACATCCCAAGAAAGTAGTTGCCACAAAGGCAATCCATATGCTCACAGGGCACACAGGGTTATAACAAGAAAAATTAAGGTAATACATTCTTTTAGTAGCACGTTCCGGCACAACATTATAAACATAACGACGATATCATTAGCTTAGAAGAGAAGGTTCCCTTGCCCTTCTTGTCTCCACAAATTTCGAAGTGCTTGCACCTCTGTAGTAAGAAAGAAATTACGGTGTCAGATACTTAAACATAACATAATATAGTATGGAAATGGGATGGCGGATAAGAGGGATGGGCGGGCCTTGATAGCACATTGTGAGTAATGCTTGTAGCTCTGGCACTGCAACTTCAGCATAATCTTCTTTGTTGTCTTGGCCCGAAACAGAATAATAAACATCTAGATGCAAGGAAGCAACAGAAGAGGAGCGTCCAACATTTTTTGTCCAAATGACCCCAGAAATTCACCGCAAGTCTCGACTCATGCTACAAGATTTAGTCGTGCCCAACATAAGATGAGTTTCTCTGAAGAATTGAAGCAAAGCACGTGCATAATGCGCTAGGAAGTTTTGCCAACAACTGAATAATGAAATTAACTCGAGCATACAACAACATTGGTGTTCAGAAACATCTTGATGCACTAAATAGGAAAAGGCAATAAGGATACACACAGCAACAACGGCGATGACTTGTTCCATGTCTGCAGGTGATCTACAATTCTCCATGCATCATGCAACATGGCTTAGAGCATTTCTAGCAGATCCCGCAAACTGGGCCGTCCGGTACAATAACCGCCAATTTACGGAATTCATCCCGTATCCCCGTCCCGAATAGATCCTCTAAATCCGACCGTCCCGATTTTTTTTGCGGGACCCCGGATCCACGAGGGCATTTCCTACATATTTCCGGGACGAAGGGCCAATTCTACATGTTGCCGCAAACAAGCCAACCGCTTGGCGGGAGGGAACTTTCACCGCGTCCACCTCCCGCCCCCCGTGCCTTTGCAGACCCCGACCTCGTTGCTCCTTCACCGACGCGCCTCCTCCGACTGCCACACCACACCATGGAGTGGCCACCCTCCTGCCATCCATCCCAAGCTTGCGCAAGCCGAATCGGCCTAGGCCCGCGTCCGCCTGCTGCGATTGTCGCACCTCGCCGTGGCCGATGGCCGTGGCCGGGGAACTCCACAACGCCTCGCCGTGGCTGCCGTGTCGTGGGGGCGCCGTGTGTGTCGTTGAAGCCGTTCAGCAAGAAGGAGTGGACGGCGCACCCGACGACGCGTCCACCGACTACTCGACCTCACGCATCTGGAGCAGGCCATGAGCAGCAGCTAGTCAAGGCGGCCGGCGTGGAAAGCCAAGAGCAGCAGCCAGTCAAGGTGGCCGACGCTGCAGGCCAGGGAGCCGCAGGTCCAGCCGATGGCGTGGGGTGGGCCACACGCCTCGGTGAGCTCCGGCTCCGCCAGGCAACACACAGCAGGCTCTATTGCCATGGCCGCTCCAGGACCCAATTGTAATCTAAATTTCATTTTGAGGGTGTTTTGTGCTACTTTGTAAGGACCCTATTGTAAATGTAACTACTGACACGTGGGCTCCACATCTGACGTGATTTTTTTACTGGATCTATTATGTGTGGACACATGCCATACCGTAAAAACGTGTTAAAACCGTTTTGCGATATCCTCTAAATCTATTTTGCGGTACGAGGTTATAAGGGATCTGCTAGAGATAATCTTAGAGCAGCCAACAGAGGTGAAAGATTCCCTACGACATTATCTTCTTGTGATCGCGTAGAATGCCAACTATGCATATGCACACGTCGCCATAATTTCCAAATCTACAACTCAAAACAAACCCTACTTATTTCAGATATGGCTAACAAATACCGAGCAAATTTCTAATTCAAGGGGATATCACACCGTGCCTACTTGCACATTGCAATGCAAGGTTTTGCTGTTTTGATAGCTGAGATATGCCAATGAGCAGTTGTTTGGTTCACAGTTACTTGATTTGATTGGTCTGTAAATACATGTCTATAAAATTGCATAGCGTAACAACATAACAAAACAATTTGCAAAAGCCAAAAAAACAGAGAGGAGACCCAAGAACAACGGGCATTCAGCACAACATCATAAACATACACTGCGACAGCAATTTAATTAGACCAAGAACAAAAATACCAAACTCAGAGAATAAATAACATTTTACTTGTCGATTGGATCTGGAGAAAGTAGTTGACACAATAGCAAAACATATGCTCCATTGCCAATAGGGTTATAGCCAGAAAATTAAAGATAATACAGTCTTCTTGTGGGAAGTTCTGGCACAACATTCTAAACATAACGACAATATCATCAGCTTAGAAGAGAGATGTTCCCTTGCCCTTCTTGTCTCCACCGATTTCGAAGTGCTTGCACCTCTGTAATAACGAAGAAATTATGGAGTCAGATAATTAAACATAACAGAATATAGAAGGAAATGGGATGGCAGATAAGAGGGATGTGCGGACCTTGATAGCACGTTGTGAGTAATGCTTGCAGCTCTGGCACTGCAACTTCAGCACAATCTTCTTTGTTGTCTTGGCCTGAAACAAACAGAAGAATAAGCATCCAGATGCAAAGAAGCAACAGAAGAGGAACATCCAACATTTCCAAAGTAACTTGAGTTGCACATCAAAGATATATGCCCACAGAAATCAGTAACATACCTTCTTGTGGAAAACAGGCTTTGTCTGGCCACCATATCCAGACTGCTTGCGGTCATAACGACGCTTCCCCTGGGCAGAAAGACTGTCCTTACCCTTTTTGTATTGGGTAACCTTGTGGAGGGTGTGCTTCTTGCACTCCTTGTTCTTGCAGTAGGTCTTCTTGGTCTTCGGAACGTTCACCTACAAAATGGCCATACCATACTTAGCCCAACTGGAATAGACAACATAGCTTAACTCACAACACCATGTTTGCTACCTAAGATGTGTAGAAGCAAGGACCTCTCTGATTCAACGGGCATGGTTAAATTTCCCGGTGATCAAGGGGGTCCGAAAATACAGAGGGCAGAATTTGCAATTACACACATAATGAAAAGGAAACTCAAGCCAAAGATGCTATAGTGAACTAGAAAAGCACCTTGCTGGCGAAAAAAAAAACAGAGTACATTATTACATACTACAAAACAGAACATGTTGAGCTAGCTCGCAATGGTGGTGCCAACGATAGTCCATAGAGAGCTAGCTGTAGGAGGAATACATCATGTCAATCGTTGCTGATTGCACGTCCACGTCCTCTGCCTCCAGCAACTAGAACTGCATCATCTTGTTCATTACTGAGAATAGGCCTCTTCTCACACCGTACCAGTTCTTTTTGCAGAATAGGTTTCAGTAACATATATTCCATCTCTTCCCTTCCTAAATATAAGTCTTTTTAGATATTTCAATAGAGACTACATACAGATGTAGATTTACTCATTTTGCTTCGGATTTAGTCCTTATTGAAATATCTAAAAAGGCTTATATTTAGGAACGGAGGGAGTAGAACACAATCTGATTAACTGCAGCTGAATGAGAGCATACTGTGCAACCAAACAGTGAGGCCATGATCTGACCTTGCAAGCATATAACTAGAATAAACGTGTATATTTGGGCGCGATCATGAGTCATGAAAACTCGACTAACAAGGCCGGAGATCAATGTAGAAGGTGACAATTCAAACAAACCAATTCGTCATTCGATCAAGCCAACTTAACACTCTACATCCAAGGCCCTGCGCCGCGCAGTGTTGTAATGAATGGAAGTGTCTCCAGCCACAACATCCCAATCACCTCCCCTTCTCCGACATCTACTAGCATCCACGCGGTACGATTCAAGAGGAATGCGCAACTGCTACCGAAGTCTCATCCGATTAGCAGCATCGCATTACGAAATGCATCCGCGCTCGCAAGTCATGTTCGGAAACCAGAAACAGTCGCTACGACCAACCGCAGGTACAGAGATCAGGGGGAGGAGACTCACCATGGCTGCGGAAGCGGCGGTGGATCCGAGACGGCGAGGAGGAGTGCGCGCCTGGGTGAGAACACGGGAGTGCGCCGCCGCCGCCGAAAACTGAAATGGTGGGAGGGCGAAGGGGTGCGCGGTTATATACGAGGGGTGACGGCTAGCTAGGGTTTCGCCCTCACGCACAAGTCACTGCGGGTGGGTCCCAGTGCTTAGCGGCCACACGGGCCGGTAGTTGGGCCGGATGAAATGGTTCCCCCAGGCCCATGTGACACCGAAGGTCTAAACGGGCTGGAAGGTGGCCATTTCCGTCTCAGCGTCGCATCTTGGGTTCTTGGTGGACTCCGGCCAGTGAGGGGAAGCAGCCGCCGTCGTCTCGATCTCGGGATCTCTCGTCGCCGGCGCGCGTAGGGAGAGGAGCTGAGGAGGGGTGGTTGGTAGGTGAGTCGGCCTCCATTTTGATCTCTTCGGCGATGGTCCCGAGGTTTGATGTGTGGATGTGATTTTTGAGCCGCCATTTCGGTACTTTTCTTGGAGTGACAGGGAAGAGTGGTGGTGGTAGGAGGAGGAGGATGAGCGAGAGCGAGCAGAGGCCGGTGCCGAGGCGGGAGAGCCCGTGGGGCTTGCCGGAGGGGGACAAGCGCCAGCCCAAGGCGCACCGCTGCAACGACCGCATCGAGGATGTCGTCCAGGTCCGGAGGTCCCCTCCCTCTCTGATTAGAAAAATCTTCAGGTGTAACATTCAACTGGCACGTATGTGTAGATGATATTGACGAGATCCATGGTGCAACAGCTGAAATGATGCCCTAGAAACCACTTGGAATTAGGCACTTGATTGTTTAGGCTGGTTTACTTCATCTACTCTACTACTGCGAGGGGCTGGCATTAAGTCGTTTCAGTAGTTAATTCGCTATCATGACTCAGAACACTTTAGATGTGATTCAGCAATGTTAAGCACCCAATGTTGCCCTGCTATGAAGATTGCACATGATTCATTAACACGCAACTAGGATGATTCCTATCCTACCTGTGCTGTGCTCATTGCTTCCAAGCTAGTGATGGCGGTCGCAGTTTCAATCTACAAAACACAATTAGCAATGACCAATGGACTAATCTGAAACTGGTATCTGGAAATATCATCAAAGAAAATGCTTCCAGTTCCAGTGCTGAGTAATTGAGCATTATAAAAGAATGTGTATGACATAATTGCCATAAGTTGGACTAATGTGGAGTTCAGGATCTCATCCCACCACCACCTTAATCTGGAATTTCCTGTAATTACCGGTCACTACCTTCAACTGGTTATGCGTTTTCCAGCAAATGGCCAGCATTAGCTGTGTTTCATCATGTGAATTCCTAGTCTGAAATCAACATGTTTTGGTCTGCTTAATTATTTGTTTGCAGGCTGCCTTTGAAGGGAATCCATTCAAGACAGTTCCAGGCCCATTCAAGGTCTTTTGGCAATGCATGCGCTCGAAACCTGGGTATCCGCTGCTTCTCATGATCTCTGTTTTAATGCTTTTGGTGGAATCATTAGAATCACTGATGACAATCTAAATATGTTTTTAGGTTGCCCACAACAATTTCATAAAATGAATAAGCAGTATATGAGGAAAATGTTAAGTTAGTGATTGCTAAGTATGCTCATGTTAATTTTTTTTCTTTTTCTTTGGTGGTTGCTTGCTTTTTCAGCAACTTAAATGCTTAGTTAGTACATAGGGATGCTCACTAAAAAGTAATCTCTTCGGCATGGTGTTATTTTCTTGTTTATGGGAAAGTCTTATATGAGCCTAACCACTTCCTAAAAATCTAATATGGAGCATCACACGTAACAGGGAGTTGGTCAGGCACGATTCTCCATGTAGTTGCAAATCCCTGAGATTTATGAAGCGCGTACTAGCCTACCTGTGTGCCATATATGATGTTTCACATCTATTAGGAAGGTAGTTTGGTTGGTTGGTTGGGCAGTGTGGATGGTGCAACCTTTCTGGACAATATCTCAGTCTGGCTGGCTGGGTCAGAAACCAAGGGCACTGCTGTGGCTTGGCTGGGAGCAATCAGTTCCACATACCAGGAGTAGAAGCACGCATGCAATCATTTTGATCACCAAAATTGAACAAAAGAAAGTACTTGGTGACATGGCTTTCTCCTAATAAAAAGGCTAAGTGGTTCAGGAAGCTATTGTTCTGAAATGCATATTATGGAAGGACTCCATATCTGTGTGAAATTGTGGACTATAGAATTCTAATGATGAATATTGCCTCAGAGAGCAAGCAAGTATCAACTATAGTTTCTGGTGCACATACATTCAAAATTGTGACAAGTATTCTGACCATGAATATTGTTTTTTTTTCCTCTTTTGTTAGAGAAAGTTGTTAATGTACAAACTGTGATTTGCAGGGAGGAACCAACTGTACCATTTACTTACCTGCAGCTGGATCCTCCGAAGAGGGTAGAGGCCAAGCTAGAGTAAACAACACCTAAATCCTTCTGAAGTGTGTGTGGTTATATTTCGTAGTGAACTTTTTACCTAGGCGTCATGTTGAATGCAAGGCCTTATGTTCGGATATTTATTCATGAATAATAATAGTGCAAAACCGATCCAGAAATAAGAAACGCCTTAACAGGAGGTGAATTGGTTGAAGTTGCCGTTTTGAAATGGGATTTGTAATTTTGTCTGACTTGTTTTGGGCCTTGAGGGTTAAATCCTTATTGAATGGCTTCTATGGTTTGTTCATGGGATTTCGTAATGGTATGCGGCTCATGTGGAATTCTGGGTAAAGATGGTGCCTGATTCGTGTGCCTGTCAGTTCATGCAAAATTGAATTAGACATTCTTAAACTGCTCCCTGGTGACAAAAAGTTGCCAGTTTCCTCTTTGTTTCCCATTTCTTTTTGCCAACCCATTTTGCAAGAGGGCTGCACGTGCTTTTCGGTACCTGCTTGTTCTACAGGTTCTGCCTGGTACTGTGAGCACTACATACACCTTTTGTGATGAATACTAACATCAAAGTTTGAGATTGCGTCCTGGATTCCGGGGCAAGTTTCCTTCGCATGGATTGTTTCGGAGCAGGAGGGAGTGCAGATGGCAACATGTGGAGTTTAGAGAAATACTGCTTGAGCTGGATTTGGGCCGGAACTAACTGGACGCAAAACAAACTGTCGAAGGAAAACGAAAACTAGACGGGATATAGTGTGTGGATCATGGCAAACTGTCTGATTATCTGTAGAGTGCAAACAAGATAATGATGATTGAGCTCCTTCTGTGTGATCACCGTGTTTCAGAATACGTTGCCTAGGGCAGCTTTGCTGACTTCTAGAGAAGCTTATGCATCAGATTTTCCTTGTTGTATTGCCGGCAATGTTCACAAAAAGAATTGCCACAGATGAAATAAACGAGTAGTCTGACTAGAAGTCTAGAAGCCTCTTCCCAGGCTGAAGAAATTACCTAGAAGAGATGTAAACTGCTGATGCAGATAATCATATCTGTGCTGGTAGGTACCTTCAGTGGAGAGAAATGCCAGTGAGCAGCTGTCTACATGCGTGGTTCTCGAGGCTGGGTTACTTATGCACTTCCATACATATGATTGTCCCCATGACTCCCAAGCCGAACTAATGGACAGGGCAGCAAATTAGCAAAAGATAACACTAGTCCCGTCATCCTGGTTGTCAATCAAGCTAGGCTTGTGGTCTCAGATTAGAGGGACCAAGAGGATGGAGGGCTTGCACAAATAAGAAGGGTAAGTAGAGTTGTAGAAGTGGAAGGGTGGGAACTCGCGAGTAGTTTGTATCCGGAGGGGTGGGGTGGATGATGTACTGGTGGTGTGAGGTCTGCCCTCGAAGCAAGGGAGTAAAGGCAACCATGGTAGGAACACGGAGAAAAATGCACGCAACCATGCTCCATTGAAGCAAAAAAAGGTCTAACAATCGATCGAATGGATGGATGTCACAGCAATCAGTTCGATATCATGCATAAATATAATGAGAGAAAAACTTGTATGCTATAGTGTCGTCGAAGTAAGACTATTAAGTGGGCTTCAAGAATGCTCAGCTGAAATTAAATTGGATTTAGGCTTGTCGTTTGTATATGTAATTAACTTCCATTGTGTTTGTGATGCACAGTGCTTCCAATTTTAGGCTTAAATTTGAACTTGGATTTGAAATGTTGCTAATTATGTGTGGCGTGATGATGAAAAGTCTTAATTATCATGTCATGGAAAGTTTAGTTGGTTAGTTGGGTAACATGGATGGTTCACATCATGGAAAGTATAATTATCGTGTTTCGGTTGGTTCGTTGTTGGATAACATGGATGGGGCAAGCTTTTCAGATAATATCTCAGTCTGGCTGGCTGGACCAGAAACAAAGGGCGGTGGTGTGGCTTGCCTGAGAACAACCAGTTCCAACATACCAGGAGTATAAGCACACATGCAATCATTTTGTACACCAAAAATGAACAAAAGAAAGTACTTGGTGACATGGCTTTCTCCTAAAAAATTGCCAAGTGCTTCAAGAAGCCGTTGTACTGAAATGTATTATGGAAGGACTCCATATATGTGTGAAACTGTGGACTATAGAATTCTAAGGATGAATTTACCCTCAGAGAGCTAGCGGGTATCCACTATAGTTTCTGGTGCACCTTCATTTCAAAATTGCGACGAGTGTTCTGACCGTGAATATTGGCTCATTTCTCTTCTGTTAGAAAGTTGTTAAGTGTATAAACTGTGATTTGCAGGGAGGAACCAACTGTACCATTTACTTACCTGCAGCTGGATCCTCTGAGGAGGGTATAGGACAAGCTAGATTAAACAACACCTAAATCCGTCTCAAGCGTGTGTGGTTATATTTCGTAGTGAACTTCTTATCTAGGCGTAATGTTGAACATGAGGCCTTATGTTTGGATTTTTATTCATGAATAATAATAGTGCAAAATTGATCCAGAAATAAGAAACGCCTTCATATATATGAGGTGAATTGGTTGAAGTTGCCGTCTGAATGGGATTTGTAATTTCGTCTAACTTGTTTTGGGCCTTGGGAGTTAAAGCCTTATTGAATGGCTTCTAAAGTTTGTTCATGTTATTCGATAATGGTATTGCAACCCATGTGGAATTCTGGGTAAAGATGGTGCCGCTTTTGCGAGAGGGCTGCACGTGCAGCACTTCAGTACCAGCTTGTTCTACGGGTTCTGCTTGGTCCTATTCATGATGAATGCTATCACCAAAGTTTGGGACTGTGTCAGGTTCTTCAGGGAAAGTCTCCTTCGCATGGATTGTTCAGAGCAGGAACAAGTGGAAAAGAGAGAAATAATATTTGGAGTGGACTGGAACGAACTGGACAGGAAACAGGTTGTCAAACTGTTCTGATTGTCTGCATAGAGTGCAAATCAGATACTGATGATTGAGCTCCTTCTGTGTAATCACTGTGTTTCAGAGTGCTCTGCCTAGGGTAGCTTTGCCGACTTTTTGAGAAGTTTATGCATTGGATTTTCCTTGTTGTATGGCCGTCAACGTACAGGTAGAGAATTGCTGCAAATGAAATAAGCGAGTAGTCTGACTAGAAGCCTCTTCCGAGAGCCATAAACTCTCATAGAAGAGTTGTGAACGAGCTGAGTACAAGTTTGTTCGTCAGGCCAAGGTTACTATTGTATTTCTGCACATCTGCTTTTCCCTATGACTCCTAAGCCGAACTAATGAACAAGGCAACAAACTAGCAAAAGACAACGCTAGTTTCATCATCTTGGTTGTCAAGCAAGCTAGGCTTGATACTCTGAACAATTGAACTATTTGTGTTAGAACTACCCTGTGGTCTGAGATTAGAGTTGACGAAGAGGAGTTGGAGGGCTTGCACAAATAAGAAGGGCAAGTAGAGTTGTAGAAGGTAGGCAAATAAAGAGGGGTAGTTAATTTGTACGTCAAGCATAGGACCCGAGAGTGAGTAAAGATTGATGTGAGTAATAATGAAGTGTACTTGAAGCAAGGGAATAAAGGCAATGGTGATAGGAATATGGGGAAAAATAACGCTCCGTTGAAGCAAAAAAGTCTAAAAATCAATCGGATGGATGGATGTCAGAACAATCGGTTCGATATCATGCATAATAGAGAAAAAAAATTATGCTATAGTGTTGATGACGTAAGACTTTTATGTGCGCTTCAAGAATGCTCGGTCAAAACAAAATTGGATCTAGGCTTGTGGTTTGTATATGTAGTTAACTTCAATTGTGTTTGTGATGCACAATGCTTGCAATTTTAGGCTTAAATCTAAACCTGGATTTGAAATGTTGCTAATTATGTGGGACATGATGATGAAAAGGCTTAATTATCATGTCATGGAAAGTTTAGTTAGTTCAGATTGTATATGTAATTGTGTAGTAGAGAAAGTCGAAGCTCAGAATATGGTATCTAGTCTTGCATATTTTCCTAAAAGCAAAAAAAGAAGCTATCCAAATCTTCTCTATCGTCTACCCATAGTGATATGGGTAGCCAAATTATGGGTATGTTGCTGGCGATGCTCTAAAGGACTTCATACTTCTTTCCAGGAACAACTCATGCCTTCCCTCAAAAAAGAAAAGAAGATTCTGGGAGAGGGAACGGAAAAAAAACACCCCTGCGTCGCCCTCCTTTGGTGACACGGGGGAAGACTCCTCCAGCGCCGCCGCTAGGTCCTCTCCCTCCTCCTTTTCGTCTCGCCGTCGCCGGAGGCGCCGCCGGCGAAGCCCAGGCGGGCTCCAGTGAGGGCGGCGGCGGGGCGGCTTCCTGGGCAACCTCCACCCCTTTCCTCCTCTCCTCGTTGGGGCGCGGCGGCGCGCGCCAGATCCGCAAGGCCCAGTGGCTGGGAGCGGCGGCGGTCCACGGCGGGCGGCGGGCAGGGCTCTGCGATGGCGTGGAGGCCCAGGCGTTGGTGGAGATGAGGCGGTGTCGGCTGGGGCTGGTGGGCCAGATCTGGGCGCCGCAAGCTTGCGGGTTGTTGTCGTGTTCATCCTCGCGGCGGGTGGTGCAGCACCCGCTGCTCGTGGCGGGTGTGGCGGTGGTGGATGGGGATCCCGGCGGTCTTCCGGCGGTGTGATAACCCACAAGTATAGGGGATCGCAACAGCTTTCGAGGGTAGAGTATTCAACCCAAATTTATTGATTTGACACAAGGGGAGCCAAAGAATATTCTCAAGTATTAGCAGCTGAGTTGTCAATTCAACCACACCTAGAAACTTAATATCTGCAGCAAAGTGTTTAGTAGAAAAGTAATATGATAGTGGCGGTAGCAGCAACAAAAGTAAAGACAGCAAAAGTAATGTTTTTGGTATTTTGTAGTAATTGTAACAGTAGCAGCGGAAAAGTAAATAAGTGTAAACCAGTATATGGAAAACTCGTAGGCACTGGATCAGCGATGGATAATTATGCCGGATGCGGTTCATCATGTAACAGTCATAACATAGGGTGACACAAAACTAGCTCCAATTCATCAATGTAATGTAGGCATGTAT